ACAATTGGCTTTGATTGTCATTATTTGTATGTTTATATGCCTGACGAAGGAGTTTGAAACCTCACCGGCAGAGCACTGTGTTGTTGAGAAGTGCTTAGCATGGCAAGGTCCACCAGAGGAGTTCTTGCTCTTTGGGATTTAGCTAATGAGATGTACTGCTGCATAAAGGAACACCCGTGGTAAAGAACAAGGATGCCAAGATCTGCTTCGTTTATGCAAATTGACGCCAGCAGCTCTGCTCTGGGTAGCATTTGCGCCTCCACTGAGATCTTGTGCTGTCTCTTTCTGACAGGATGCAGAAGAGGCCGCCTCCAAAATCACAGAGCAGGGCCCCTCCGATGAAACGAAGAGAGTCCAAGCCCAAGCCAAGAAAAACCCCCGCAGCCCACCGGGGGAAAGCAAAGCCCCCTCCCAAGGTTAAAACCCCTGCTAAGAAAGCCAAACCAGCAGCCCCGGCCATCAAGAAACCCTCTGGTGGCAGCTCTTCCAAGAAACCAGCAGCCAGTGGGAGGAAGGAGGTGAAACCCTCTGCCAAGGGCAAATCCACCATGAGGAAATCTCTCCGGGCAAAAAAGTAAAATTTTTCCACTGTCAGGGAATCCCATGGTCAAATCCACAATCTTGTTTTATAAGTCAACGTGCATTTGTATTTTAGTTCTGATGCTTAAACACTTCTTTAATTTTTATTTTTTTTTCTTGAATGATGGGGAAAAAGCTGAAAACTAAATCAAACCAACCCGAGCATTTGTTAGATCTCAATGCTGTGCCTCGTGCCTGCCCCTCCCCTGGAACAAGTCATCTTTAGTTTCTGCAATAATTTTAGGACTTTTCTAGGACATACATAATCTGTACATTTTACGGTGTTCCTCTTGGGTTCGGGGGGGAGGGTTGGCTTTTAAAAATTCTTCAAAGAAGATCTTTATATCTTTAGACAGCAGGAACAGGATGATTGGGGGAATGTGATTCTTAATGAGAAGGTACAACGGCAGAAGAGTCCTCCCTAGATCCCCTGCATGACGAGGTCCTTAACGCTTCTGTGAAGAAGCAGTGTATATACAGCACTTGCACTGAGTCCCGGCGGTGCTTCTTTCTGCTCGGCCGTTAGAGCGACAGGCTGAGGAAGTGGCGCGTTCGGCTCCTTCAGGCCAGCAAGGTTTGTTTGACGGTGAGTCAGATCTTCAGTAAACTGAGGCTGCAGCGTCTGCTGATCGTCTGAAGCCTCCAAAAGGGGTAGATCTCCGTTAGGCGGGTGATTTGAATTAGTGTTTCCACGCCACATCTGTTACCTTAAAACCAAAATATATAAAAGTCTTCTTGAATCCAACTTTCAAATGTTTTTAAGAGATGAAGAGCCTGAGTTTTGTCACCTCTTGTTTACCCTTTTTTAAAGAGAAGTTGGAGAGCTATACGATTGCTAAAGTAGAGATGTTGATAAGTGAAGAACATGCAGTTTGCTAAAATAAAATGAAACTAGATTCCAGGCCCGCTTTGTGTGTCCTTTCTCTTCCCCGCCACAGCTTTCTCCTCCTGGAAATGTAGAGAGGAGGGAATTACAGTCACCGTGGATTGCTGCAGAGGCAAATCTTTGTTAAAAGTACATTGCCAGCGTGAAAGAGTGGGGCTGTTTTAGCCTGAGCCCCTGCCAAGCTCTGTAGTTGGACCAACTTGTGACCTTTTTCTTCTCCGTTTTCTCTGGAGACAAAGGTGAGTGAGAATAAAGCGGAGTTTGAACCTCTTGCTGCTCCTCTTCTCCCTCTGCCCCCCGTCAGCGGCCAGCGGGGACAAAAAAGACCAGTTGAAATCTTCCCCCCTCTGCCCTGCTCGACGGAGCAGCGCCCGCGTTCAACGCGCGCTCCGCCGCGCCCCCGGCCCTCCCTTGGACAGGGCGAGGCCAGTGATTCGAGTGTGACCTGACGGTCTTTTCACTTAACGTGCTTTTGGAAAGAGCTTTGCACCTACCGTGCCGAGAGGAGTGGAAGCACCTCTAGAAATAAAATGCAAAAAAAAAAAAAATAAAAAAGGAGAAAATAGCCTTATTGAATTTATTCTTTTCAGTTGCCATCCCAGTGTGCTACCTCTAACAACTGGGAGTTTAAAAAATTCTTCTAGAAATGCCCTGTAACGAGGGTGCAAACAGCAGGTTAATGAAAATCACAGCTTGGGAGAGTGAAAGCTCCGATCGAAGAGTAACCCGCAGGGATGTCAAGCAATTAGAAACATTAGTTAATGGCTCTTTCCTAGGGCTACTTGTACCGAAACAGTGGGTTTTGTCGGCGTTTTCCTCCAGGCAGCGCTACGGTGAGCCAAATTTGGGAAACGGCTCCTCTCATCGATAAGATGTAGGAGCCCTCACCCAGCTGTGGGGCATTTTGCAACCTCCCTCTTCCCCGTAACGTTCCCAAACCAACAACCCCATGGGTATTTGTTAAAACGCTGGTCTGGATAACTGATTTTTTGCACGTGAGCACGGCTTAATTTTGCTGTGGGGCGCCTCGAATTGGAGCGTTGTGCTAAAACCAGCCATTAGCTCCCTTGGTCACCACCAAACTCTTTTTGGTTGTGGCTTTAATTGCTAATTAGGTGATTTCTGCGCACCGAGCCAAAAAAAAAGCCGTGGGTCTGGTTGTATTTAATCCAAAGGACCGATCCTCACCACCCCGGAGGCGTCACGTTCCCGAGAGCAGCAACCGGGATTGAATGGGAAGATCTCCAGCCCCCGTCGGCATTGCCGGCGGAGCGAGCAGCAGCTCCCCCGTGCATTCGGGAAGGTTTGTGCCGGCTCCGCCGCTCGCTCTTCTCTAGTCTCCGCTTCCTGGCCAGACTGGGCTCCGTTATGTTATTTCTTTAGCCCCATCTGTCCTGTTTTTTTTCTTTTTTTCCGCCGTTTCTACACTATCGACTCTTCCGGCGGGCTCTGCCGGGGCATCTCGCGGCGTCTCAAAGCAGCCGGCGCTGGCGGCAACCCAAGGTTCGAACGCTGCTGTCAGGACCCTTTTCCTCGCACCCTCGGGAGCACCGGGGTGCAAGACGGGGATTTTTGGATGCACCCTCGCAGGGTTTGACCCCATCTCCTCCCCAAACCGTTGCTTTCCCTTTCTAGGAGCCATCCCTGGGGCTGGGGGCAGCTTTGGCCCCGTGGATTTGGCCGGCTGGAGGAGTTGGGGGACCCGAGGCTCTGGGTTTGCATGGCCGCTTTGCAGCGAGGTCGGAGCCACCCCTCTTTATTTCTTTTTTTTTTTTCTGGTGAAAGAGATAGCGGTGGGCAAAACTCCCCCGGGGAATTCAGAAATTGGGGTGAAAAAGGTCTGAGCATCGGGGCAGGGGCTGACGAGCGAGCAAACGTGTGTGCGTCAGGGTTAGAAATCGCTTCTCCGCCGGGCAAAA